TGGATATGAAATTCTGGGTTGAAAGTTCTTTTCTTTAAGTATGTTGAATATTGGCCCCCACTCTCTTCTGGCTTTTAGGGTTTCTGCCAAGAGATCTGCTGTGAGTCTGATGGGCTTCCCTTTGTGGGTAACCCGAACTTTCTCTCTGGCTGCCCTTAGCATTTTCTCCTTCATTTCAACCCTGGTGAATCTGACGATTATGTACCTTGGGGTTTCTCTTCTTGAGGAATATCTTTGTGGTTGGTCTCTGTATTTCCTGGACTTGAATATTGGCCTGCCTTGCTAGGTTGGGGAAGTTTTCCTGGATAATATCCTGAAGAGTATTTTCTAGTTTGGATTCATTCTCTCTGTCACATTCAGGTACACCTAGCAAACATGGTTTAGGTCTTTTCACATAGTCCCGTATTTCTTGGAGACTTTGTTCATTCCTTTTAACCCTTTTTTTCCTGATCTTGCCTTCTGGTTTTATTTCATTGAGTTGTTCGACCTCTGATATCCTTTCTTCTGCTTGGTCAATTAAGCTGTTGAAACTTGTTCTTGTATTGTGTTTTTCAGGTCCATCAGTTTACTTATATTCCTCTCTAAGTTGTTTATTCTCATTAGCATTTCGTCAAATCTTTTTTTCAAGGTTCTTAGTTTCTTTGCATTGAATTAGAACATGTTCTTTTAGCTCACAGAAGTTTCTTATAACCCACCTTCTAAAGCCTGATTCTGTCAATTCATCACACTCATTCTCCATCCAGCCTTGTTCCCTTGCTGGTGAGGAGTTGTGATCCCTTGGAGGAGGAGAGATGTTCTGGTTTCAGGTGTTTTCATCCTTTTTGCGCTAGTTTCTTCCCATCTTTGTGGATTTATCCACCTGTCTTCTTTGTAGTTGTTGACTTTCAGATTGGGTCTCTGAGTGGATGTGCAGTTGGTTGATGATGAAGTTATTTCTTTCTGTTTCTTAGTTTTCCTTCTAACAGTCTGGCCCCTCTGCTATAGGACTGCTGAGTCCATTCCAGGCTCTGCTTGCCTGGGGATCACCTGCAGTGGCTGCAGAACAGTAAGGGTTGCTGCTACTTTCTTCTTCTGCTATGTTTGTCCCAGAAGGATACCCACCAGATGTCAGTCTGAGCTCTCCTTTATGAGGTGACTCTGGATATATGGGGGTCAAGGAGCTGCTTGAGGAGACAGTCTGTCCTTTATAGGAGCTCAAGTGCTGAGCTGTGAGCTCCGTTGTTCATTTAGAGCTGCTGGGCAGGTACATTTAAGTCTGCACCAGCGGAACTCATAACCCCTTTTTTTCCCCAGGTGCTCTGTCCCGGGGAGTTAGGGCTTTATTTGTGAGTTTCTGTTGTGCTACTCCCTTTATTTCAAGGCTGCCCTGCCCAGCGAGGAGGCAGCCTAGTCACTGACTGCCTGCAGAGGCTTTGCTGAGCTGCTGTGGGCTCCGCCCAGCTGCCATGTGAACCTCCCTGCAGTCCTGTTTATACGGGTGTAGTTAGACCTGCCTTGGCAATGGCAGACTCTCTCTGTAATGGCACGCTGCCTCAGCAATGGCAAACTATCTCTGTACTGGTGGAGTGCCTCGGTAGTGGTGGACGCCCCTTCCCCACTGGGCTGGAATGTCCCGGGTTCAGCTGTCCTTGATGTGAAACTCTCAATCCAGAGCATTTCTGATTGTTGTTTTTTGTGGGGGTGGGACCAGCCAAGCATGATCACCTGGCTCCCTGCCTCAGATACTTTTTTTTTTAGTTGAATGGTTGACTGTCTCCCAGGTGTTCCAGTTGCCTATTGAAAAGGCGCCGGGATCTGTGTGATTTCCCGTGCAGCGACCCACTGCACTGGCTGAAACAGCTGCGCTGAGATTCATGGCACTTTTTTGCCTGGGAATGTCCTGGCCTGGCCCCATTTCAGTCCCCCTTTTTAATGAGATGAATGGGTGACTCTGCCTTCCTCGAGCTCCAGTCTCCAGCTAAAATGGCACCCAGACCTGTGTATTTTTTATGGAGAACTGCTGTGCCAGGGTGCCAGCAAAACAGCCGCCAGCCAGAATAGCCGGGCCAGCCAAACCAGCTGCGCTGGTGACCCGTGGGGCTCCTCCATCCAGGAATTTCCTGGTCTGCGGGCAATAAAAATCCATCTGGAAATGCGGCATCAACTCACCCTCCGTGCTTTCACTGGGAGTTGCAATCCTGAGTTGTTCCTGATTGGCCATCTTGGATTCCTTTTGAAGTTTATTTTTGAAAACTTTTAGATCTACACACTCATAATAGGCTACATGAGTCTCACTCCCAGATACAGTGTGTTGCTTGGGAATATCAAGAAGTTAATTCATTAAACCTAATCTATTCATGTACTGGCTAGGTTAGTAATCCTTTGCTCATTGCAGTTATTGGGGGCCATTTTGAACAGTGAAGTGTGAGTTTCACAAATGTGCAGTAATTCTATGCCTTTCCTGCAGCATATTCTGAGCCTGTAAGGTATAATAAGGTATTACTCAAATTAACAAATGGTTGTCTTTTATTTAGGACAAAATATGTCTCTTGATTCGTGTATTTGCTAATAGTTAGGCTTGACTTGAATGCAATATTGCAAAACAAATACCCACAGGATTCTTTGTCAAAATATAGGCTTAGGCTAACTTACAGCTCTTGGCTATGTTTCCTATTTTAATGTATACATTAGAAAGATTCAGAGTTTTCTGTTAAATAGAATTCTAGCTCTTTATAAGCCTTCACATTCCCTTCTTATACTACGTAATTTTTTTTGGCCAGGTGCAGTGGCTCATGCCTGTAATCCCAGCTGTTTGGGAAGCTGAGGAGGGCGCATCATCTGAGGTCAAGGGATTGAGACCAGCCTGGCCAACATGGTGAAACCCCATCTCTACCAAGAAGTACAAAAATTAGCCAGATATGGTGGTGTGCACCTGTAGTCCTAGCTACTGGGGAGGCTGAGGTGGGAGAATTGCTTGAACCCAGGAGGCAGAGGTTGCAGTGAGCCAAGCTTGTGCCACTGTACTCCAACCTGGGTGGCAGAGTGAGACCCCATCTCAAGGAAACATTTTTAAAAAGCTGTATTTATTTTTGAGACAGGGTCTCACTCTGTCACCCAGGCTGGACTCAAACTCCTGGGCTCAAGTGATCCTCCTAGCCCAGCCTCCTGAGTAGTTTGTACTATAGGTGTACACTACGATGCCTGGCTTTATATTTCTTAAGGCTACTTGCCTAGCAGTATTGAAAATATATCCAACTTAGTTGATATTTTAAATTAATTCAGGTAGCTAAAAGCAAATATTATAGATTTTATGTAATAATTAATGATCTGCTTTTAAACAAGTCATATTCCTGATAAACTCTAATAGAACCAGAGAAGAGCCACCTGAATAAATTGTTACTGTTTCAAAAGCACAGATAGTTTTTAGGCATCGGAGTATGCCATGATGATGTAAAAAGTTGCTCTGGTGTATTCGTCATACCAGATTGAAACGTCACATTTTATAACAAGTTTATTTATACCAATGTTCTAAGCCACTATGGACTAAGCTTCAACTTAAATACAGCTTCTTGGAAGTCTTTGTGAAACTGTTACACAGTTTAATCTGAATACTCCTTGCCTCATTAAATCCTTACTCTTTGAATGGTGGACATTAATTAAACAAAATTCTTTATATGTTTAAAAGCATTTGGTTTTAGTTCTACATGAATACATTTATTTCTCTTTTAAATCTTGCTATTAAAAGGGGAAATAACAAAGTATTCTCATGTAGAATAAAAAGCCAAATGCCTTTCTGGGTCCAAGACTTCTGAAGTAAGAGTTGACCCTGCTCAGAAGCTGCCTGGTCCAAGACTGATGTAACTAGAAGACAGTATCATAGGATCTTAGGCTTCTGTTCTCACTAGTGAGACAATGGGATAGTATTTCAGAGCTTTTCTCCCTGTTGTGACCAGTAAGAAAATACTTTCACTAAAACAACAACAAAACAATTTTACTGTCAGTTTCTGCAGCCTCTGCTATGACAAAAGCAGCTTTTCACTGTGGGGTCTGGGAACCAGAAGTTTGGGTAACTTTTTTTTTTTTGAGATAGAGTCTCGCTCTGTCACCCAGGCTGGAGTACAGTGACGTGATCTCAGCTCCTTCCAACCTCCAACTCCTGGGTTCAAGCGATTCTTCTGCCTCAGCCTCCTGAGTAGCTGGGATTACAGGCGCTGCCACGCCTGGCTAATTTTTGTATTTTTAGTTGATATGGGGTTTCACCATGTTGGCCAGGCTGGTCTTGAACTCCTGATCTCAAGGGATCTGGTAGGAATTTATTTTTCACATTAAAAGAGTATTAAATTAACCGTGATCTTGAAGTAGGTTTTAGGTATTTTTCATATAGAGTTAAATAAAAACACTTCATTCTAAGAAGTATAAAACTAAATGACCTTTAAAAATAATGTGAATTGTTAGTCTAATGAAATGGAATTTTGTGACCTTGTGGTAACTGGGCTTATGTTACTATATCCATTATAAATGTCTAGTAGCTGAATTTCCAGTAAGAAACTTTTTTCTCTCCCCAATAGTGTTAAGAAAGGATTTTTTTTAGTAGCAAATTATCTATCCAAAGCTATTTTCTTTACAATGAAAGATGAAAAATGGGTATAATGATATTCAACTCTAAACAATTTCAAACTCTATGTGTAAATACAAGTATAGCTATAAACGTCTTCCTGATTTTTAGGACTCTGAATGTTTGTAACTTGGAGAGAGAAAATCTATTTGAGGGCTCAGTCTGTGATGGATCTAGCTCCACTATCAGAAAGCAACATTAAACCAATCTGATGGTAAAAAAGAAATGCAGGCCATGAACTGCTTTTTTTTTTAATATCTATATAAAAAATAACGAGCAATTTACAGATCTTTCTCTAATCAGAACCTCAAGTGTATATATAAAGGTACTGTACAATATATAAACATTTACAACCAGTACATCCATATTTTGCTCAGCATTCCAAGGCCACATTGCTAAGTCAGTATATAGTCAGTACAGAGGTTACTTAGAAAGGAAGAGCCACATAGGACAACATAGGACATCAAAGTTATGTCACCGTTAACAAAAATAGGATTTGTTATCACTATCTGTGGACTATAGGGAAAATAAATAATTTCTGTGGTACTAAATTCTTAGTATTTATCAAGCCTCCTAATAATTTTGCTTTATTTGAATAGTTACAATAGGTGTGTAAATACAGTTCTGGATGAAAAGGGATTTCAAAAATCTCACTCTGGGAAGCATGTCTTATCTACAGGGGCTAATACAGTTGTTGGGTTAAAGAGTTTCACAGTCAGACTCCCAGAGGGAAGGACCTGGACATAATGTGCTTCACAACAAGATGAACCCAGGGTGACAGAACAAGTGTGTTCACACACTCCATAAGAGAGTTTTTTATTTTCAGAAGGTGCCTTTATTTATAGATGCTACTGAATGCTGCTTCAGGGAACTGAAAAACCTGATCTATTTTACGGAAGTTAACAGTCTCCAACTTCTAAGAAACACGTTTAACTAGACTTTTTAAAAGAATTCTGAAAATGTGTACAAGCTAAGCAGATGTTTAGTCTCCCTTTCTTGTTTTTAAGTAAGAAAGTTAATGTAGCTAAAAGTTAAATAAGATCCAGTAAGTACTGTCTACACTTTTGTCCTTACTTGCTGGGTAATACCTTACATAGGTTGCTCTAAACACCCAAGCTTGTACACCTGCTACCAGAAGAGTTGGTACCTGGACTGTGAAACTGGTTTCGTGGTTAAGTCCCTCACATGATGTATATGTTTCCTTTTCAAATATGCATTATGTATTAAAGACTAATGACTTTAGTAGTAGGTAAAGCCAAAATATCCAGAAATAGTTGGTGGTTTTTCTTCAAAGAGCAATAAACACTATTTTCCACATGCTTCTTTATGGTTTCATAATGAAATAACAAATAAAAAGGGTGACCTGAGATGCCGTAACTGTACATCAATGTTGGATAACACAGCAGGAGATGGACTCTATTGCTTTAAGTACTTTCTCATTTCAAACATTCAGTTGTAAGTACTATCTTTAACACTTACTTGAAACAACTTATCCAGCCAAATTAAAATAAAGCCATAAGAAAGCATCAGTATTGGACTACATTTTTTTTCCTGTGAAGTTAGTGATGTTTGGGGGGTTTATTTTTAAACTGGGACATCATCAGTAGCTGTTGGAAGAGACAAGTGCCATCTTTAATGGTGAGTTGACAGTCTCTTCCTCTGCAAGGACTCAAATATTTCTCTCTGTAAACATGCAACATGCTATTGAGGACATCAACTTCCAAGCCAAACCTAACTTGTTCTTTACTGTGGAAATAGCTGAACGAGGATAAAAACAGACATGATACAGTAGATAACTTGGCACAAATACAAAGTGAGTTGTGACCACACTGTTAATATCAACATTTGTTCAGACACTCATTAAGACGAGCTGGGCAGCCTGAGCAGGGCGGATCAGATGAGCATGTGGATGCAGCTCCTTCCTGAGTGCAAGGCAGGACAGCCAGCCAGGGGGACAGTTGGTTCTTAGCAATCCTAAGGCCCTTCATGCAGCCTAGGTAACTTGATGCTCACATTAACATGTACTTATCTGTTTCAGAATATCTGAAAAGAAAAAGGCTTTTTTTTTTTTTTTTTTCTGGAAAAATGCTGCTGTAAGAAAAGATTACAACTTGTGTTTCTTTGTTTTATACTAAAGGTTACTGCCGTTTCTCAGCCACACCAGTAGTGCCTGCGACTTTATTTCCACTCGGCACCTTCCAGGGCCCCGGAGTTATCGGTGTTTTCTTAACTGGAGAACTACTTTCAGGTTTGAATCTTCCAGTCTCTTTGCTTCTGTCAGCTGCCTCTAGTTCTCTCCCTTTGTGATCTTCTATTCTGTTTGAAACTATCTTCTCTGCAGGTTCTTGCTTCAGCCTCTTTTCTGCTATCTGGACATTTTCTCCTATTTTATCATTACTAGAACTTGTTTCTCCTGTGGTTACTTTCTTTCCTTTTTCATTTTCAGATACTACTTTACTTGTAGTGTTACTAGTCTTTCTGGATTGAAGAGACTTCTCAACCATTCTTTTGCTTTTTTTCTCTGGAGACCTTGTTCTACTTTTTTCCAGCTGATTCTGCTTTGCATCTTTCCTGATGACGCCTGACTTTTCCTTCCCATCTGGGATCTCCTCAGCATTATCGCCTGCACGGCCTGCTATTCTTCGACTCTTACCCTCTAATAATTTGGCCTTAGCATTTGCTGGATCTTTGCTTCCTTCAATTTTTTGCTGCTTCTTCGGGCTGGCAGACCGACCTCTGCTTTTTCTGCACTGATCTTGTCCAGACCTTGCCCTGGTGCTGACCTGACAACTTTTATTTTCCCCCTTGCTGGGGCTGAGGGATCGATCTCTGGGTCTTCTTTTGAGGTCATTTTTTAGAGGACTAGGAATCTTATCCAAATGTTCCTCTGAATGCTGATTGGCTGGCTTTTTGGGACTAACTGATCTACCTCTTCTGGTAACACCATTTTCTACTTCTAATAGATTTTTCTTGTTACTGTGCCCATGACTGCTGGGTGGATCCCTCTTACTCACATTTTTCTGGAGAAGAGACTGATGCTTTACCTCGGGCTGATTTTCATGTAAAGTGCTTTTCTTTTCAGGCACAATGTCCTTTAATTCTTCTGCCTTTTCACATATCTGAACTCTCATTAAAGATTCTTCAGTTACTGGCATGTGAGACTCTTCAAATATGGAAGCAGAGTGTGAAGATGGGGGTAATGGTGACTGTTCATCATAAATCACATTTGAAGATAAAGGATTATTAATTTCCCAATCACCTAAAAAAGTGATTTGAATGGAACATTAAATTTTAGAATTAGAAATAGGCACAATACATTTTGAACTCTGACAGCCATCTGAATTGTACTGACTGCTTAAAAAGCTTATGAGTATTTTATACAGCCTGTATATGTTTATAACATATTTCTATAAAGGCAGATGTATTTAGACATCTGTTCATACATGAAGGATAGGTTATTTATATAGATATTTTTTACAATTATATATAATTAGTGAGATAATGTATGATCTGTAAATTCTCTATTAGTAAAGCCCAGTCAGAACTTACAAGTTACAAAGTTGAACCAAATTACCTGGTCCAAGAAGCTCACTAATTATTATTAATGGATATAGTTTAGGATATGGCAAAATCACTTAATAAAGGAAACCAAACTCTGGTAACCAGAATGAGGCTCATGGGCATTTGTAAATAGTTCTCTTGCATTAAGCTGTCAAATTTAATGTCAAAAGGAGACTGAAAAGTGCAGAAGATAGAAACAGATGTACTTAATAGCATCATTTTTAATTTAAAAGAAAACAAAAGAAGGAAGTGATTTACAAGACATGCAAATTTACCAAGTCTTTTTAAGGAAAGACCAAGAAAAGCCCTGAAAGCCTTAATGTTGCTCGGGTTTCACGTAGGAGCACAGACCGGAAGGAGCCAAACCTGAAGAGGGAAGAGAAAAAGCCTAGGACTATGTGAAAAAAAAAATCAGTGCAGTTAGCAAAGATGTCACTGGGAACATATGATTTACAAGCAGATGGTGGAAGATAATACAGCCAGAGAATCATAAGCTGGAAGGGTACGGCAGGAGATTATGTCTACACTCATCCCTCAAAAGCGGTGGGATGGGGCGGGGTAGGGCTGGGGTGGGGAGGCAGATGACGCAGGTACTGCGTGGGTGTGGTACTGCCTTTATTTCTAGAGTAGTGCACTCAAACAATAGTGACTTTCAAATACCATGGTATTTCAAAACATGCAGTGGAAACCCAGGAAGTTTAACGTTAATACAGGAAAGACAAGGTCTCAGGTCCAGCTCCCTGTCTGCAAGTAGGGTGAGAGCAACTTGTTTTTGCCGAGTCACCAGAAAAGCCTAAAGTTTTCAGGCTACTTACTCATTACAGTATAAACCTATCTTGCTTTACAGAAATAAAAATATTTGTTGGTAATGTGTAATTAGCGAAGTAAGGGAAAATCTGGGATGTTTTGAAGAGATTTAAAATGTTTTTTTAATGACATGTAAATCGTTTGCCTCTAATACACTTGATTCTTTTTTTACAGGCACATTTCTCTACAAAAACTACTATATATTTTTTTCTGATTAAATTTAAAATATATTCCATTCCAACAAAATTTCTGCTTGACAAAGTTACTTGTTTTCTAATACTATTTATAACTGCTATGTAACTAGCTTTTGATGGTTCTAGTGTTCATCTCTGAATTAACCAGTAAAACATCCATCTTCTCCAAATAGATATTCCTTTTTCTTCTGCCCCCTCCCTAAAATACAACTTTTCAGCTACCAGTGGGCTACTTTACTTACCATGGTCAGGTATCAGGCCAGTACCCGGCCTCAACAGAAGAAGAACTTTATTTCCACCAGCCTGGATGAGCTCAATAGCTCGAGTATGTGTGATTCCTTGTGTAGGTTCCCCATTGATTTCAACAATCTGGTCACCAACCTAGACAGAACATTTACAGGAACAACATGAAACTGTGCATCCTTCATAAATCAAACTTGCTAAGTGATTCTTTCATTTGTAAAATATCTAATGTGTACCCAGTGCTGCCATGCAAGAGTTGATGAGAGGACAGATGGCAGCAACAGGAAGAGACAGTGTCCAGTTTTACTAAAAAAATCCTACACAGGAAAGTTTTACGTGGCTAGTAACTAAGATCGGGGTATCTTCAAATCAAGAATCAGGCCAGGCGCAGTGGCTCACGCCTGTGATCCCAGCACTTTGGGAGGCTGAGGCAGGTGGATCACAAAGTCAAGAGATTGAGACCACCCTGGCCAACATGGTGAAACCCCATCTCTACTAAAATACAAAAATTAGCTGGGCATGGTAGTGCATGCCTGTAGTCCCAGCTACTTGGGAGGCTGAGGCAGGAGAATTGCTTGAACTTAGAAGGCAGAAGTTGTAGTGAGCTGAGGTCATGCCACTACACTCCAGCCTGAGCAACTGAGTGAGACTCCATCTCAAAAAAGAAATCAAGAATGAAATTCTAGAATCAAATTTATAATTTTCTAAATTTATATAAATCAAAAATTTATAAATTTATAGAAATCAAATTTAGAATGTTAATCAAATTATAAAATTTGATTCTTGATTTGAAGATGCCGAGATCTTTACTAGCCATATGAATCTTTCCTGTGTAGGATTTTTATAAGTAAACCTGGCACTTCCTATGTGGGGTTTTTATGAGTGAGTAAACTTGGACACTGTCTCTTCCTGTTGCTGCCATCGGACCTTTCATCAACTCTTGCGTGAGAGCACTGGGTACACATTAGATATTTCACAAACAATCCAAATGATACTACAGAGCTATGTCTAAATGTGGATGGTACTTTCCTGAGAACTAGGCAGAGGGCTCTTTATCTTTGAAGCCCTTCCTGGCCTCCAGGGAAAACTGTGTATTCCTTTGAGCTGCCACCATGTCCTGTACATACATGAGGCATTCGAATAAGATTAAGATTAAATTTCTTAAAGCTTGGAGAATAGATTAATATGAACATTTATTTAAAACCAGTAACTGGCATAAAGTTAGTGACGTTAGTGTAAAATAATTTCTCAGAAAAATAAACATAACACTATGGGTCAGAGTAAGATATACCTCAGTACTATTGTGATGTACTAGAAATGTCTATTATTTATATATTTTTTTGAGATGGAGTCTTGCTCTTGTCACCCAGGCTGGGGTGCAGTGGCACCATCTTGACTCACTGCAACCTCTGCCTCCAGGGTTCAAGCAATTCTCCTGCCTCATCCGCCAGAGTAGCTGGGATGACAGGTGCACACCACCACACCTGGCTAATTTTTGTATTTTTAGTAGAGATGGGGTTCCACCATGTTGGCTAGGCTGGTCTTGAACTCCTGACCTGATGATCTACCCGTCTTGGCCTCCTAAAGTGCTGGGATTACAGGCTTGAGCCACCACGCCTGGACTTTCTGAATTATTTTAAAAGAAAAAGGGAAATATGGAAAAGTCAAGTATAACCTTGCAGTGGACTTAATTAAAGATAATGATGGTACTGATTTTAAATCTATTTCAAGTAAATATGTGTTCATGAACTCTGGATTGGATAAAGAAAATGTGGCTGGGCTTGATGGCTTATGCCTGGAATCCCAGCATTTTGGGAGGAGGGCAGATCACAAGGGCAAGAGAGTGAGACTCTGTCTCAAAAAAAAAAAAAAAAAGATACATATACACCATAGAATATTATGCAGCCATAAAAAGAGCAAAATCATGTCCCCTTTGCATCAACATGATTGGAGCTGGAGGCCATTATCCTAAGCAAACTAATGCAGGAACAAAACCAAATACCACATTTCTGACTTATAAGTGGGAGCTAAACACTGACTACACAGGGACACAAAGATGGGAACAACAGACACTGGGGAATACAAGATGGGGGAGGGAAGGAGAGGCTCAAGGGCTAGACTGCCTATTGGGTGCTATGCCCACTACTGGGGAGATGGAAGATGAACTCATTCATCCTCCCAAGCCTCAGCATCACGCAATATACCTGTGTAATAAACCTGTATATGTGCCCCCTCAACTTATAATAAAAGTTGAAAAAAATCTATCTCAAGATGACATGTAAATGAAGGATACTGACTTCAAAACAGAAACATCAAACAGTGGCATATTACTGAAATTCCAAAAAGCAAATATTCAAATACTTGTAAGAGCTTACTAAAACCATCCAGAAGTTCCTTTGAGTTGACGCTAGCTGTGAGGTAACTAAAGAATAAAAATCATAAACCAATCCAGAAGTAACAAAACAGAAGGACTCAATATTTAACAGAGGTCCGTGGACCAGCTCTTTCTACACACACAGCGTGGCACAAGTGGTCAGGAGGCCGCGGTTCACACCCTGTGAGTGGACCAGCTCTTTCTACACACACAGCGTGGCACAAGCGGTCAGGAGGCCGCGGTTCACACCCTGTGAGTGGACCAGCTCTTTCTACACACACAGCGTGGCACAAGCGGTCAGGAGGCCGCGGTTCACATCCTGTGAGTGGACCAGCTCTTTCTACACACACAGCGTGGCACAAGCGGTCAGGAGGCCGTGGCTCACACCCTGTGCTCTACCTTTTTCTAGTGTTGTGGTCTCATTTTTCTCATCTGTTAAATGAGGATAATATTAGTACGTACTTTCTGGGGTTCTGGAAGGACTTAGGATAAAACATGATCATACAGAAAGTACAAATACTAGTTTTCAAGCTATTTTAAAGTGTATCATTAAGAAGATTTAACTGTAGACTGAATTTCATTCTGCACAATGCAAAAATATTCAAGTCATCTATGAAATGCTTTTAAACATGGGAGGCTTACTCTTGAAGAAATGGAGGATATCAGAAACAAGATTGATGTGTTTAATATGTAAAATGAAAACACCTTAACAAAACCAACCAAAGTAAGACAAAGGATGGAGAATAATTAAAAAATCCCTTATTATCCAGAATAGGTAAGTGAAACAAAAGCCAATACTTAGATTTCCCTTGATAAGTGATGGAAGAAGAGTCACTTCCCTGAGGCGATGTGGGGAATAAGCACTAGATATAAGCCTGCTGATCAATGAAAAAGTGGACAATATTTGGACCCTGCTTTGGGTTTATCTTGTAAGACATGTTTGAGGTTATAGTTTATTTCAATCACATTCTTTAGCTTAAGCTCTCCAAAACTGTAATACTTTTAATTTTACTGTAATAAACTGCAAACAAAACTTGTAATTGAACAGACTTGCCACCAGGTGTCATTTCTGTTTAACTTAAAACTGAATTTGGGGGAAAGGCAGGGAGCCATTGCTTTAAGATTTACGGTTAGGCCCTCAAAGTGGGAGAAGTTCTGCAGAGACCTACATGAAACTACAGATAAAAAAAATTCACCCAGTAAACATCCTTTTAAAAATTTAAGTCACTTTAAAAATGTCATAAAAAATAAATGGGAGAAAACATCTTTTGATAAACAGAACAAAGATTCAAGTTCAGTTTTATATTACTGAAAAATAATTAGGCCAGGCATGGTGGCTCATGTCTGTAATCCCAGCACTTTGGGAGGCCGAGGTGGGTGGATCATTTGAGGTCAGGAGTTCGAGATGAGCTTGACCCACGTAGTGAAACCCATCTCTACTAAAATACAAAAATTAGCTGGGTGTGGTGGTGGGCACCTGTAATCCTAGCTACTTGGGCGGCAGAGGTTGCAGTGAGCCAAGATCATGCCATTGTACTCCAGCCTGGGCAATAGAGCAAGACTCCCTCTCAAAGTAATAATAGTAATAATAATAATATATAATATGGGGACAGAGAAGACAAATGAAAGGGAAAAAAATGAAGTAGAACCAAAAGAAAAGAAGTAGGAAGAACAGAGAAAAAGAATGTTCCTTTTTTTAAAACAAATCATTATCTTTTTAGGCAGTCTCATCGTTTTAAAAACAACATCCACTACGAATGTATTAAAATTACAAAATAATATTTCTGCCACATGGCTTACATTATCTTACAACCTGTTAAGAAACTATCTGCCTCTCAACGAAACCCATCCAAACTGGACACAAGCCAAGACCTGACAAAGCAGAAAGCACATGGACCGAGCTTCGAGGACAATGGACCAGGGTCACGCCTGGGTCACACTGTGGCCTTCACAGGCTGAGTGATCTCTGCAAGTGACTAAGTCTCCTTGAGCCTCAGTTTTAAATCTGTAAGTGAGGATAATGTCACCTACCTCAGAGTAATTAATATAAGTAAAAACACATGTTGTATGGGAAATGCACGTGCCTCAAAGACAGTAAACTCTTAATATTTTCTAAATCTGATTCTGATCTATGTTAAATATTTAAGTTTGACACTATTTCCGGATATGAATCGTTTCCATTCTGCTATTTCTCACTCTCATCCCAGAACACTTTTTTTCATCCCTCCTCTCTAAATTTTAACCAGATTGAAAGGAAGAACTTCTCAATGACTCTCAATACCCTTCCATCTGTTACAAGTTAACATTTTCTTGTTTTCTTAATGACACTACTAAGTTTTTTGCTAATTACTTCATATATCCCCAGTCCTGTTCACCCAATAGTAAGTGCTGAGAACTAATCTTAGATATTAAAAAAGCAGGCTGGGCACGGTGGCTCCTGTCTGTAATCCCAGCACTTTGGGAGGCCGAGGCAGGTGGATCAGGAGACCAGCCTGACCAACATAATGAAACCCCATCTCTACGAAAAATACAAAAATTAGCTGGGTATCGTGCCATGCGCCTATAATCCCAGCTACTCGGGAGGCTGAGGCAGGAGAATCGCTTGAATCCAGGAGGCGGAGGTTGTGGTGAGCCGAGATTGTGCCATTGCACTCCAGCCTGGGTGACAGAGCGAGACTCCATCTCAAAAATAAATAAATAAATAAAAATTAAAAAATAATTCTCTCAGTATCTAGAATTATTATCCATCCATTTTACTCTTTCTACAGGTGTCTATGGAGCACCTGATATGAACATTCAAGGCACTATATGCTGGAGATATGGAATAAAAATATAGGACACAAAGTACAGCTGTCAACTTAATAAAGGGAGAAGAGGAGAGGCATTCAGGTGGCTCCATGGTGAGAGTGTCAGTTGGAGATAAACTCTTATCATTTGGACATCAATAACATTTTATTGAGCACTAGTTATATACAAAGTCCTCACGAGCTTTATCACGTCAAGATTTTGATAATTTAATAGCCCCAAAAGTGACTTCTCTGAAAAGCTGACATTTTCTTCCAGGTTAGAACATACTGGGGCCTAACAGTTAATTGCTTATTTGCTTTTGTTTTTAGAGTTTAATCTTGAAATAAAAGCTGATTTCATCATTAAATTCTAAAGTTTCTGCTCATTCATAAGGCATGTTATGTTGTTTTTTAATTGAGGACGTTTTGCTGTATTGCTCAGATTGGTCTTGAACTCCTAGGCTCAAGTGACCTCCTACCTCAGCCTCCTAAGTAGCTGGGATTACAAGCATGTGCCACCACTCCTGGCTAAGAATGACATGTTTAGAAGTAGAATTTGTCTGCTTTAAGGCCTGTTTGGCCTTTTGTTTATTGAGATTAGTGGATCTGAAGATTATATTTGGAACCAACATTTAAAACATATCCTAATTTATCATTTAATTGGATTTTATGACAATATATACAAAGGAGTTAAACACATAGATGTAAACTAACTGATAAGTTGTGTGTGTGTGTGTGTGAGAGAGAGAGACAGAGAGGAGATAGAGAGAGAGAGAAGAGAGGAAGGGAGGGGAAAGGACCAAGAAAACCAGGAATAAATATGCCATCCTCTGTAAACAGTGTCTCAAGATGCTCTTATTAAGACTTTAACTATGTATTTTACTTTAACTATGTAAAATAAAATGATACAGATGAGCAAACTCAGGTTCAGAGAAGTTACATAGGGGTACACAGCTAGAAGGTGGCAGAACGGGTTCAATTCTTGTCCTGTCTGATTTCCAAACCCATGTCCTCGTCACTGTATGAAACTGTATAGAAAGTAGATCCAGCAGTTTTTGATGAGCTATAGTAACAGCATTTGGCCATCAGTTGCTCTTTGTCAAACACTCTGCAGCTTTGGCTCTGTGGCTCTGCGCGCTCCGCCTTCCCTTTTTCTTTATCTTCTCTAGTCCACTAATTACATGCCTTGCTCAGTTCTGCCCTTGGCTCACTACTCTGTAAATATTCTTTTTTGGAGATCCTATCTACCACCAAGATTTCCATCGTCACTTCTCAGTCATGTGGCAATCTGGGCTTCTACCACCAGTAGTAACTGCCTGCTAAACATTTACACCTGCTCTACCAGCTGTTCCCTTCACCTCAACATGACTCAACCTTACTACATCATCAGTCTTTGCCATATCCTTTCTCCCCTTGGTCTCCCTAATGGTTTTATAGTACAGATGGGGCAAGGTTTCTGAGTCATCCTTTACTCTTCCTTTTCCTTCATCCCTCATTCAAGGATACTCGTTGGTCATCTAGTCTGGTCCTTTCTTCACTGACAGTTGAATTGATAGGCATCTTTTATCTTCCATTCAAAGTGTTACCATTCAAGCTATACTCCCACCATGACCACTTCATGCATAAATTACAGCTACCTCGATTCCCTTCATCCTGCACACCACTAACAGATTTTTATCAGCAGATTGCTCTGAGGGGAAATTCCTGGCTGAAAAGCCTCCCGTGGCTTCCCACTGTCTAGGACCTTTATGCCTGTGACCCATCTGCTTTTATATTCTCATTTCCTCTGTTCCTCTATATATTTTCTAAATAAAATCTATGTAAATTCAACCATTTGAAGTTCCCTGTACATAACTTATACTTTCTTCGTTTTGCCCCATTGCTCATTTATTCAGCCTGGATGTTTTCTCTCCTCAATTTCTCCCTACTGAAATCCTATGTACCTATCAACGCCACCTATTCTGTGAAATCTTTTCTCTTCACCCCTTTGGACTTGTGCATGTGTCTGGCCATTCTGAGGAGGGATAATATCTTATTTTGGATCACTCTTCCAACTCATTCAGTAGCAGACATAAGGCTTTGGGAAATGCAAACACTCAGTATGTGTTTTATGAAATAAGTAATGGGAGTGAAATGAAAAATTCAAAACTGCAATCACCGAGAAGCACCTTTTCTAATAATTACTAGAATATACCGTCTAATAATTACCAGGATCATTTGCCTTTCTAATTGAATGAGTTGAGAATATCTATGATGGAATACTACTGATGTGAATTCTAGTCCTTGAAACAATAATAAATGTTGAGAGCCAAGATTTTCAGCCTCTAGTTAAGCTCCGGGTAGCTAAGATGGAGAAAAAAAATCCTTGGCCTACTGTTTCCTGAAAACAGTTAAAGATTCTAGTTGATACTTGCTTTCTCAAGATTCTTACTAAGATGAAAAGTATATTTTATTTATTAATTTGTTTACCCTCAGATGTTGACTATGTGAATAAGAAATGAATTTTCTTATTGACCAAGGTCAAGAAGCCAAAAGTAGCATAACTGCAATATGGTCTAGCACACTAAAGAGAAGAAATGAAGTCATCAGGATGTTAGAAAAGCAAACTGACAAGCATTTGCCTTTTTTAAGTTTTAGTGAAGACAAATCCTGCTTTTTAGATTTAAGAGGTTTCTGCATTCCCTTCATATCAATTATTAATATCTTTTGAAGTTTCCAGTCTAGAGCTGGAACCTAAGGTTACAGAGAGAAGCCAACTCACATGAATTCTGCCATCTTTGATGGCAGGACCATCTTCAGCAAGACGAAGGATGAAGAGCCCCATGTTGTACTCCTTCCCTCCTCGGAGGCTGAATCCAAAGCCCCGGGAGCCTCTCTCCAGCTCTACTGGGTAACAACCAAGGCTCTAGAGAAAAAGAAGTATAAGAAAAGCAAGTTTTCATGGATTGTCTATTTACATTTTGAAGAAAGATTACTTCTATAGCTGGGAGAAATGATTTATACTCTCAATGTGCATTTCTATATTGTAAAGAAGGAATGTAAATTTTGGTGGAAGGGCTACTGAATTTTTATAAATGCAGTGTAAATTAATCTGAAGGTTACATGTCTTCTCTAGTTGGTCAATGTGCAATGGAACAATCAGAGAACAGAATTTTGGAAAGTGCATCCTTTAAGTAGAGTTTGACTAATTTTTCTGAAAAACAAATAACAAACAAAAACCCCTAATTTGATTATTTAAAATATTATTTACTTCTAAGTACTTAACACCAAGAGTTCAAAGTTCTCCTGCCCTAGGGGAAACTTTAACTCCTGACATTCTCTCATGGCTGCCAGCAGAATGCTGGTCTTCGAGAATTATTAGTTTTGGAAACAAATTTATCTGAATTGATTTGCAATAAAAATTCAACAATGCCAGTGATACGGCAACTCAAAGTATCACTCCACATCTGGGGGATGTTTGTTTACCTGATTGTGCCGAGTGCCTACAACTGAGATTACTGCGGTGTCAGGCTGTGCAAGGTGCTTGTGGTCTGACCAGGAATGTCTGTAGGAAGTGGAGACATCTTTTCCAATTTCACCTTCTAGGGCACTTCTACAAGACAGAGAAATCAAGTCACTCTCTGAACTGAGAAAATGAAAAACAGTCTAAAGGCAGATTAATTTCTTTTCTTTTAAAAGCTCAACTTTGCCATTTTCCCTCTGACAAACCACTATGAAGACAGACTATATCTAAAATCAGAGAGGTACTAGGAGAAACCCCGTCACTAACGCCAACATAGCGTGTAGTCTGTCAACATCCCCAGTTTTTTTAAGGACATCTCAGAGCAGTTTATATCAAAGAAAACTGTAATCAAATAACTACACCAGAGGGCAGATAAGCTGACCTTGTCACAGTGAAAAATGGCTCTCCTGCAGCACCAATGCTGGACTTTTGGAAATCTAGTTTTTGTTTCATGGCTAATATTTTCAATGAAGGAGGACACAAATACACACAAAATCCTGCTCTGCTCAGGTGGTCTGATAACATAGCAATCCATATGGGTCTGCAATTCCCTGTGAAAACTACTGAACAGCAAGAGAAGCAGAGCCAGATGCCATCGTTTCTTTCTAGTCCTCGCATGTCAGGCATGATTGGATAATTATGCTGTGCCTGGGACGGAGGCTGGGAGAGGGATGACGGCACTGAATGGGTGGAGGCAATGCGGAAGTATCTGAGGAACAGGCGAGAGTATTAATTTTGACCTCAACAGCTGGCATCTGCATTACTGTATGGGGGGGCGTGGATGATGGGGAATGGGATTATAAAGAGTTGAGCAATAAGGAGAGAATAAGAAAAAACACCTGAGAATAGCCCCACCTGTCCCCAGGTATGTGGTTGGCCTGTGACTGTCCCATGGGCCTGTGCTGCAGAGCTGGGCTTTGCCTGGCTGAGTTTGTTCCTGATGGTGGACCGTGATGCTCTGTCAAGTGAGAAAACAACAGAAATAAGAATTTGTCCGGAAACTGTGAAGGCCGAGTGGATCTGTGAAAGTGAGATGGTAACAGATGGCTGTTGCTGTCCTTACTTCAGTGGCTTTAGCATGAACAGCACTATTGTCAGCTGTCTGGAACTGGCACATTAGCATCTTTTCCCCTGTGGCTTTTGATTACTCTTTATGTCTCAAGAGAACAGGAATCAGATTACGTCCCCATTTCACCTTTGTTTTAGCCATCCATACAACATAAAATGCAGAAACGAACATAATATTTATAGAGAAGACAGAGCTCCAGGAATATTCTATGGGTTTCTGCAGCACACACCTAATAACTGGTAACCCATTCTAGACAGCGAAGCCAGGTGTCAGGAATGCTGGAACATGGAGGCCAGTCTGCAAGCCACACTCACACCTCTGAACCTGCATCTTTAATACAGGAGCAGTTATTTTGCCTGACACCAAGAGCCAAAGACAAACTTATAGAATCATCCTGAGGGCTAACAAATGTTTATAAATATCATACTGCTTCTATTTTCTCAGAACACAAACATAGGTGAAAAACATTACATTTGTTTCTGTATCATTCCCAACAGGTCAGGACCCCCAGCTGTTCCCTGAAGGCAGCTTTCATAGCTAAGCATGGTGACTGTCTGCACCTAGAACTAGATGGCAAGAAGGCGACAATTAGAAATGAGATGCCTAAGGCTGGCAGACTCATATTTTTAAAGTTGAAACTTCTGAACATTTTATTATGTTTAAATATAAAAGTACAGGGTATTTGAAGTATCAGAGAGACGGAGCACAGCTTAATGATTAAGATCATGAACTCTGAGCATGATGGACAGTTTAAGCCTGATTGCATCATTTACTAGCTACGTGTTCTTCAGCAAATCTGTTATGTTCTCCGTGCTTTGAATCATCTTGTCTAAAAAGGGGAAATACAGTTACCTCACTGGGTTATAGTATCAAAGGAGCTTATAAATGTACATGCTTAGAATAGTGCCTGGCATATAATAGTCACAATAAAACAGTTTTTATTTTAACTATCATCATGATCATCATCAAAATAACAGCTCTTATTTGGGGTTGCATTTTTCCTTAAGCATATATTCTGAAATCTTTACCTTGCTTTATAAAAATGTTAAGTGTAGAGGATATTTTAAGTTAGAAAAACATGTGGAAGCTGATAAAACCTGAATCTTAGAATGCAATAGCAAAAATCTCATGTTAAAGACAAGAGATATGAGTACTAGGAAGCAGTTTCCATTGAGAAAGCTAAAACTCCGGGCTTTACTATAATACATGCATCACTATTTTATGGCTTGGATTAAGTTGTTACTTTCCAAAGTTTTGTGAGACTAAAAACACAGATAAATCGCTTATTTTTATGGAAAAACTTCTTGTGTCTAGAAGGTAAAGAATACTCTAAAAACACAGACAAGAGAGTAGAAAGTGGCAGGAGGACAGAAGTGGTCTACGGCCAAGCCAAGTGGCCCCTGAGGAGTTCTGTGCTCTCTGGCTGCTGGCTTAGGTGTGAACATGGATTTAATAACGTGTACCAGACCTGGAGATGCAGAACCAAGCTCGGGAGCAGACCCTGTCCAGAGGGTTGAGTTTCCTCTTTAAAGTCAAGTATTCCAGGAAGGGAGGGTGGGGGTGGAGTGGGCTTTGAGTGGGCTATGAACCTTTTTTTTTTTTGAGACCTGGAAATTGGTTGCCCTTTTATATTGCTATCATGAAGTTTATTTTTCCTGAGTAACTTTAACAAGTTGCTTACACTGACCTCCTAACTGCTCTTTTTGCCACCAAAGACTACAGTTTTAACACACAGGTTGAAACATGCCACTGCCTTGGATAAAAACCTATGGTGGTCCTTATTTGCAAAGGTATATGCCATAACTGAGAAAAATAAAATGAAAAGAAAAAAAAGAAGAAAAAACAAACAAACAAAACCTATGGTAGGCTGGGTGCAGTGGCTCATGCCTGTAATCCCAGTGCTTTGGGAGGCCGAGGCGGGCAGATCACCTGAGGTGGGAGTTCAAGACCAGCCTAGCCAACATGGTGAAACCCTGTCTCTACTAAAAATACAAAAATTAGCTGGGTATGGTGGCATACACCTGTAGTCCCAGCTTCTTGGAAGGCTGAGGCAGAAGAATTGTTTGAATTCAGGAGGCAGAGGTTGTAGTGAGCCGAGATTGTACCACTGCACTCCAGCCTGGGCGACAGAGCAAGACTCTGTCTCAAAACAAAACAAAAAAACCTATGGTGTGTTTTCTTGCTCATAAGCTACTATCCAACCTTGTTACCCAGGCACTCCTGCCTTTCCATTTCACCTCATGTTCAAAATGTCACCTCCTCTGTGAAATCCTACCTGGCGTCTTAAGCACACTGTGATCACAATGTTCTCACAGTATTTCCCACATTGTGTCACAAGCTGGCAGAACACCTGACTCTCCTGCTAGATTCTGAATGCCTTGATTGCAAGAAACACCTCAGTTATCTCAATATTCCTGTACTCACTAGACATTTCCAGAAGTTCTTCCACATGTGCTTCCAGGGGATGTCAATTTCAAGTTACCTGTCTCCAAACCTTAGTGCCTAGTGTTGGATCCTCTTCTGTCGCTGTAAATTCATGGTTACTATGAAGGGGATAGAAACTGATAGGGAAAATTCTATCTACCAACAAGATGACAGGGAGATACTTGCACCTTTGTATGTGGTCAATAATTTATTGGCTTTACTACCTTAGCTATAATAATGTGCGCATAACATCAGAGCAGGACAATAGAAATACTCTGACCAATTCCAAGTCATCCTCTACCTTCCATTCTAGATAAGAGTTTTCGGTTCCAGGCAGAATGTACCACAAATTGGTGCTTGCTTTTAAAGTTACATGTTTTTTTGTTGTCTTCATCAAGTTTAAGTAAAACTTCCTATCACTGGTATCCTTTTCATTTTTAGTCCTTCAACCAGTGCTACACACTACATGGTGTCTCCATTTTTCTTTGTGTTATAAGCTATTTTACTTCACAAAGTCAAATATTTATTCCATAATGTCTAACAGGCCTATCTTCTCTCTGAATTTTATTTGAAAATTCTCTCTTTTTTTTTTTTTTTGATGGAGCTTCATTCTTATAGCCCAGGCTGGAGTGCAAAGGCACGATCTTGGCTCACCGCAACCTTCACCTCCCAGGTTCAAGTGATTCTCTTGCCTCAGCCTCCTGAGTAGCTGGGATTACAGGCATGTGCCACTGTGCCTGGCTAATTTTGTATTTTTAGTAGAGATGGGGTTTCTGCATGTTAGTCAGGTTGGTCTCAAACTCCTGACCTCAGGTGATCCACCTGCCTTGGCCTCCCAAAGTGCTGGGATTACAGGTGTGAGCCACAGTGCCTAGCCTTGAAAATTCTTTTTTTTTTTTTTTTTTTTTTGGGGGGGGGGGAGGAAGGCAGGAAGGAAGGGAAGAAGGACGGTAGGGAGGAAGGAAGGGATGAAGGAAGGAAGGAAGGGAGGAAGCGGGCAGGGAGGGAGGGAGGGAAGGGAAGAAAGGAAATCAAGCAATGAAAGAGACATTGCCGACCTGGATCTAGAGGTTTACAAGTTGATTTCTTTTTTTTTGAGAGAAGGAAAGAAAAAAAAAAATAAGTAAAGGAGAGGAAGAAAGAGGAAGAGAAAGAGGGAGAGTAAATGGAAATATTGCTTTATTTTGAAAAAAATTGGGTATTAATAATGGCCAATCAATGTTTCATTTAAACTAATGGGTAGGTGTGATGTGGTATTGACAACAATGTATATTTGTGTATTGAAGTGGAGAGCTCTATAAATATTTATTAAGTTTACTTGTTCCGGATCTGAGTTCGAGTCCTTGATATCCTTATTAATTTTCTGTCTCATTGAATCTAAGTCTCCTATCTGGGTGTTAGGATTGTTAGCTCTTGTTGTTGCATTGATCCTTTTACCACTATATCTTTGTTGCTTTAAAATCTATTTTATCCGATACAAGAATTGCAACTCCTGCTTTTTATTTATTTATTATTTATTTTTGCTCTCCATTTGGTTGGTAAATCTTTCTCCATCCCTTTGTTTTGAGTCTTTGTGTATCCTTGCATGTGAAACAGGTCTGGATGTAACATGCCGTTGGGTTTTGGCTGTGTCTTTTGATTGGGAATTTAGTCAATTTAAATTTAGGGTTACTGCCATTTGATGTTGACTGGCTGTTTTATCCATTCGTTGGTGTAAATTCTTTATGTTGGTGCTCTTTACTTTTTGGTGTATTTTTAGAAAGGCTAATACTGGTTGTTTCTTTCTGTGTTTAATGCTTCTTTCAGAAGCTCTTGTAAAGCAGGCCTGGTGGTAATAAAATCTCTGAGTTCTTGCTTGTTCATAAAAGATTTTATTTTTCCTTCAGTTGTGAAGCTTAGTTTGGCTGGATATGAAATTCTGGGCTGAAGGTTCTGTTCTTTGAGGATGTTGAATATTGGCCCCCACTCTCTTCTGGCCTGTAGAGTTTCTGCCGAGAGATCTGCTGTAAGTCTGATAGGCTTGCCTTTGTGGGTTATCCGACCTTTCTCTCTGGCTGCCCTTAGTATCCTCTCCTTCGTTTCAACCCTGGTGAATCTAACGATTATGTGCCTTGGGGTTGCTCTTCTTGAGGAATATCTTTGTGGTGTTCTCTGTATTACCTGGGGTTGAATGTTGACCTGCTTTGCTAGTTTAGGAAAATTTTCCTGAATAATATCCTGAAGGGTATTTTCCAGCTTGGATTCATTCTCTCCGTTGCATTCAGGTACACCTATCAAATGTAAATTTGGTCTTTTCACATAGTCCCACATTTCTTGGAGACTTTGCTCGTTCCTTTTTATCCTTTTTTCTCTAATCTTTTCTTCACGTTTTATTTCATTAAGTTGGACTTTGACCTCTGTTATCCCTTCTTCTGCTTGAACAATTCAAGTGTTTAAACCTGTGCATACTTCTCGGAGTTCCTGTA